GCGACTCAGGATTTTACTTGGCGTCGACAGGAGCATGATTCCTCGCCAGTTCTTGCAGAGTCCTAGGTCGCCTTTCTTTGGTAGTTTCACTAGGTAACCTTTCTTCCAGTCAGTAGGCACCTTTCCCTCCTTCCAGACTTTTTGCAATAATGGAGTCAGCATATCTGCTGTCGTCTCTGAGTCCGCTTTCAGTGCTTCAGGGGGTATTCCATCTGGTCCAGCTGCTTTTCCAGCTTTCAGAAGCTTGATTGCATTCAAGACTTCAGCTTTCGTTGGAGGATTGGTGTCAACTTGCAGTTGTGTACGTGCTGTTGTTGGTATTACTGGACGGGTTGTAGGTGGTGGTCGATTCAAGAGTCCTCTGAAGTGGTCCGCCCATTGTTTAATCTGTCTTTCTTCCTTGGTAATTGGGTTCCCTTGGGTGTCTTTTATAGGTTTCACTTGTGTTGATCTCTTCCCGGATAGAGACTTTTTTTTGGTTATCTGATATTGTGTCCTTGGGTCCCTTTTGCCTGCTGCCTTCTCAGCTTCAGTGGCCAGATTGTCGTAGAATTGTCTTTTGTCCTTCCTGGCACTCTTCTTCACTTCTTTGTCCAGTGCTGTGTAAGTTGAGCTCAGCGTCTCTTTCTCTTGTCCGTCTTTGCATTGAATCATTTTCTCATCTACCATTCTCCTCTCCTCTATTAGCTTCCAAGTGTCCGTTGAGAGCCATTCCTTGTCTTTTCTCTTCTTTCCTCCTAACACCGTTGAGCACGTTTCGTTGAAAATCACCTTCAGAGAGTTCCAATGGTCTTCCACACATGATTCCTCAATGATGTCACGTAGTGTTTCCTGCTTTTCTCTGGCAGTTGCAGTGAAAGTGTCCTTTGTGGTTGTGTCCTTCAGTTTTTGTGTGTTGAACTTGCATTGTGGCCTGTCCCCAGCTATCCTCGAGGCTTTTAGCTTCACCTTGAAAGTCCCTTGTACAAGATATTGGTCTGAACCCACATCTGCTCCTCTCCTCGATCTTGTGTCCAGTAGGCTCCGTCTCCACTTCCTTGAGATTGAAATGAAGTCTATCTGGTTTTTGGTGTGTCCATCTGGTGAAATCCAGGTCGCCTTGTGTATATCCCTGCGTTTGAACACACTGCCACCAATCACCAAATCATTGAAGGCGCAGAAGTCTGAGAAGAGTTCGCCATTTTCGTTCATTTCACCGAGGGCCTCACGACCCATGGTGAGTTCTCTTCCCGTATTGTCTCCTCCCAGCTTCGCATTCATATCACCCATCAGGATTTTGATATCGCCATTTGGGACGTTGTCCATTACTGCTTGTAGTTGTCTGTAGAAGGCCTCCTTCTCCTCTTGTTCTGAGACGTTTGTAGGCGCATAGCATTGAATGATTGTAACCTTTTTTCCTTTTGAGTTGAACCTGGCTGTCATTATCCTGGAGGAGATTGGTTCCCACTGCATGAGAGCTTTGGCTGCTGTTGGTGACATCATGATGGCTATTTCCTCAGTGTGCTCATGATTGTCCTCTGGGTGACCGGAGTAGATTATTGTCTCTCCAGTTGGTAGTTGGCTCCTTCCACAACCGTTCCATCTGCTCTCGCATATTCCCAATACTTCTATTTTATATTTTCTCATTTCTGCAGCTACCTGAGCAGCCTTTCCAGTTTCGTACATTGTACGAATATTCCACGTACCCATCCTTATTTTTGCTTTCATCGAAAGAAGGCCTAGGCTAGCTACCTCTTATAAATCATAGGTGAGAATGATGTTAAATTATCAATCTTCACAATTCTGTGATAACTCTGATGACATTCGTACTAATCAGCACAACGAAATTTGTTGTGACTGAAGGAAAATTAATATATCCCTTCTGTAAAATTAATTACCTAAAAGATACAGAGAAGAATGTGATAGTTGGACTCCCCGGTTGAAAAAGAAGTTTATCGGAGGTAGTACACAAAAATATCGTGTAGTTTTGTTACTTTAGACTATACTACCATAAAATTACCAGTTATTGACAGTATGAAAGAACTATTGAGGGAAAGTAATTTGAATGTGAGTTATGAACTCATCTGTGTCTGAAAAAAACATATATCGAAAAACTGAAAAGAATATTTTGAAATAAGTCCTGCGGAACTGAAGATAATGCTACTGGTGGTATTAGTTTTCGACAAAGGTCCTATGATACACTTTTCTGCAGAGTTACATGCATACACAGTAGCAGTTTACAAAGTTTAACTTGATTTATGCTTGCGAAATTATGGTGGACTTTGCGTTATTTTGCTTATCTGTGACTTTATTCACTGTTTTTTCAACCATCTGGTTCTTTTGGTCATCGCCTTCTGAAACAGTTAACCAATTTCCCCAGCTCAGCTTTTTCTGCAAGTTATAAATGAGTAATATCCAACTACCCCGAAAGAAAAAATCACTGTCCTATACTTCTTAAATTACATTACCAGTCTGTGACGAATTTTATTTTGACATGTCCCTAAGGTTTTCCATCTTTTAATTAACTTCTCACGTCAGGTTTTAGACAGTGAAATATAAAATCGAATTTTTTTAACATTCTGTACTCTAATTACACATTTGCAGGAGTTTTTAATGATAAATTATTATTTGTGGTAAAGTTTACCGGATGAACTATTGTGTTTCTTTTATTGTTTTATTCGACTGGATAAGGAATTCAAAGCACAATTTATAACAATAATCTGTTCAGTAGTATTTAAGCTGTTTACTAAACATCTATTGTCGCATCATTTTAACTCATCAACGTTGAATTGAGTCCAGCATGTAACTGTATTTATCATGGTCTTGAATATTTATCATAATTGTGTGTTACTCACTGAGGTTCCAAGTGCAGCATAGGGCTTCAGCAGCACATCTCCATTTCATCCTGTTCTCTGCAGTCCTATTTAGTCAGCTCCATGATTGCCCATAGGCTTTCATCTTTTCCTCCTACGATCTCCTCCATGTCACCCTTGGACTCCCAAGTCGTCGTCTCCCATGTGGGTCCCACTCGAAAACCCAACACTCCTCTTCACTTCTGAAAATATTTATCCTTTTAGATGTCTCTTGCTTTTGAAGAAATATTGAAGTATTTCTGGTTGTATGGGCTTCTGTGAGTTGAATGTTTCTATCATTCATCTTCCCACTGTCAGTATAAACAACATCACTAATGGTGATTTTGTGAAGAGATGTCTTATGTTTCGACTGGTCTTGCATGTAACCGCTTGGTTTTGTTGTTCTATTGCTGTCAATAAAAACCCCATCAGAATGAATAGTGTGTCCACTCTTATCCTCCTTGCATGAATGAGCATCAATATCAGTTTACTTGTCTATCATAAAGTAACTTCACTCATGACAACACATTCGCCTGCATATCTGAATCGATTATATTGCATAACCAGGTTTGATTTGATACCACTAGGATATGAGTAACAACAGAGCATATCTGCTGAAATACGTTACATTTATATACTAAAGTCGGAGGTTCACTAAAATAACACTCGCAAACCACTTACGTGATCTGGGATTAGACTCCCGATTAACGCACTCCTAAGCCTGGCTTAGTCGCAAGTAAGACAGGTAAATAGGGAAGGTTAGGCGTGAAAAAGAAAAACCACCGGTACTGAAACTCCAAAGCTTAAGCTTGAAAACTTATGTCCCACTCGGGACGCAAAAAAATAAAATAAATAAATAGATAATTTTGAAAACTACTTCTCAGACATGACTAACAAGCAACATTGATTGCTACAGACTAGCCTACCAAATAAACCCCTCGAAGAAAAGTTTCCAATTCACAATTTAATGTCAAAATATCTTAAGAAGAATATTATTTTATTGATATTGCTTGAACGTAGTAATGAACTATGACACCGCTGTAAGCGTTGGGATTAGGAATAACTTGTAAACCCACTGGAAATCTGTGAGCATAAGATAGGATGAAAAACCAGTCTTGGACTGATGGGATAAAAAAGAAAATGTGAGAGGAGCCACAGTCAGTCAACAGTGAATAGATAAGTCAATACTTATGTAATGGATGCCGACCAATAAACAGTGCAACAAACAGCAACAAACCAGCAGTAATCAAGACATATATGAATACAGAGGCTATCACTAATAATAATAACAACAATAATAATAATAACAGCTTTATTCTGAAAAGTGTTTATATAAAATAAAGGATTTTCAGAATAGTTTACTGCATGACATTTTCTCTCTTCGACCTGGATCTTCAGGTAAAATATTATTCGACAGCAGATCCTATGAAACAATGCTACCTGACCTGAAGCGCAAACCAATCCATTATGATATCTCTTCTTTTTCTCTTTGGAGAAATGAAATATATTTGATTGAAAGTCAAATGTAAAAAGTTCAGAAGTACATTCCGTGGACCAAGGACACAACCTAGGGACAGTCATCTCATGTTTAGGGATAAACTGACATCGACGATAATACTTTTTCCCACGTTCAGTAGAAACTTGCGGATGAACAGGTTGTAAATGTTTCAATTACTCACCAGAAAAACTGGTACTGCTGGAGGACATATTTCACTCGATTTAAACAAACGGAATAAGAGAAGTTGTATGCAACATATTGATGGAGCTTCTCGGTAGCCGAAGTTTTAAGCAGGCCTCCACTTTGTTGTTTTTCGTTGACTTTCAACATTAGTATAATCCCCCAACAAAACCAACTGTAGATTATCTATAACTCCTTCCTGAAGTTAGTGCTTAAAGTGGTTATCTACAGTGACAGAGAGAATGAAATCTACAGTATTTTTAGGAGAAAATATAACTCTCCGTAATGAATCGTGTTCTTTTTAAAAAATACTAAGTATTTTAAACTGTGGCCTTAAAAATGATACATATTGATCCAGGAGACGAAGCATTTTTTCTAACTCCTCGGCATAAATAACGTACTGTAAGCCGTTATTCACAACAGACTGATCGATTAAAATTTTGCTTCTAGTGTTACTTTACTGTTACAGTCACTTTAATTTATGTCTTTAGCCTCAAAAGAAGGAAACCTGCGGAATGGCTCAAATCTATCCAACCAAGGATACAACACTGAATAATAAACTTGGTGAAATTATTTACAAATCCTTAAAAAATATTCACCATCAATTTGAATATGAATCATTAGGAAATGAACAGCTACACATAAAATCAAAGTATGGCTTATTATTGGATAAACATTATCTGCCAAAGGATGATAATCCATTCATCAACTTAACAAAAGCCTGGTGTACAGTAGCTGGTTGTACTGCTGCTTATACTTATAAAACTATTGGTCAAGATTTCAGTGAACCAATGAAAATTTGGTTAGCTAATGCTGCCAACTGCACTATCCTGTTTAGTCTTTTAGCTGAGTTCACTGATACTGAACAGCCAACACATCAACAAAACAAGAAAATCATGCCTTCATCAACCTTATCGTCATCTTCGTTACCTGATGGGAACTGGTCTTATGGTTCTTGGTCACTAGACAATCTTTTGAATGTTAATGAAATGAAGGCTATTATTAAACCTGAAATGACAGATATCTGTGTTGCAGTAATGATTGCTGGTGTCATTAACTATTACCAGGAAGGTTGTCTACTGCCGAAAACACTGACTAAATACGCTGATGATTTGATCAAGTCAGCGGAAATGGATCGGTATGGAATTACACACATGAGGGATAAACTACAAATTATGGCAATCACAAGTAGTTGGATATCAAAAATCAATATTTTCAATGAAATGCAAAAAATCGATGTTAACAGAAAATCAAATCTGAGAAATATTAAAACTTTAGGATTAGCAAATATTACACTGACCTCTGATATGATAGAATCTCTTCAAACAGCTCCAGCCGGTTGGAAGTGTACATCAATCGCTTTCAATATAGCCAGTAAATTAATTCAATCATCAGAGTGTTTTTATTTTATGGATGGTTTAAATGAATTAGTAGAGTTGGTTAGATTATGGCGAAAATTGAAACAAAATCCAATACTATATCATATCACTGGTAAAGTTCTTACAAATACTCAAGAAAACATGTTTGTGGATAATGGAAGAAATCTTCTAGGTAGATTGATCACCTTTTTAAAGTATACAGAACCACAGAGTGAATTATTTACATCGAAGTACTTAAAATCGAATGATCAGACTCTTGAGAGAATCTATGCTGATTATTCTGAAAACTGGGAAAATATTGTAAAAGCATTTCATTGTACAGATAAAATAATAAAACACAGTAGTAATCTTACACATCAGCTGAAGACTTTACATCTTATTCCGGAGACTTTCAAACTGAATGAAAATGTTATACGTATGTGTCGTGAAATGTTTCGAGATAATGCTTAAAAACTAAGCAATTTTTGTATGTATTTTGATAAACATAAATCATTGTTAGCAAATAAATTATTTTATATTGGTTATTTTGAGTAGATTGTTATATTTACAGTGATGGATTAGAAAATGCGGTTTTTTAATGGCAGGTTTATATAAGGCGTGATTTATTGACTTTTTTTTAATAATAATAATAGCTTTATTCCAAACAGTATTTGTGGTACAGGTATGGGATTTTCAGCGTGCATTACAATATTGCATCTAATTACCTCATAAATTTTATAAGATTTTAAAAATAAAAAGCAACAACAACAAAAAGGAAAAAAAAGATAAATAAAAGAAATAAAAAGGAACAGCATTGCATTCACATATTTAAATAATGCACCACAGGATATAAAATATAAAATTAGTGTGTAATAGAATATGTGAGCAACAACATAGTAGTAACAAAGAAAGGAGAACAAAAGCTAATGGGAACTATTTGTTAGAGTGCCGCAGTAAGTTGATCGTGTCGTGCCTAACAGTTTTCTCATCACATAACAGCTGTGGAGTTTTTGTACTTGGTAGTCCTGGCATATATCCTCCTATAGTTGCTTCTAGTTCTACCAGATGAAATGCAAGGAGAGAGCTGCGTATCGAGAGGATGTTCGGGGTCTGACAACATAGAATTCACTAGTTTCTTCTATGACATTATGTGTCTATCCACAATGGTGTTAACCAGTTGGTTTAACGAAATCCCACTTGCCCTACTAACAGCTTTTAGTGCCCTACGCAGCAAAGCAAAGTCTTTCTTAAGTAGTCAAGGAAAGATTAATCGGAAGCAGTAAAGAGGGATGGTTAGAATACAAGAATTGACAAACTGAGAAAGCAAAGACTGCTTTATACCAGACTGCCTTAACTTCCTAACGTAGAACGTTAAGCGAAACATCTTTCTAGTAACTTGTATCTATCCATGGGTTAGAATGTCATAGAAAAGGTGCCTTGTCTTATAATGAATGACATGAGATCGTAAATTGTATTCAAAATTGTGTACATGCTCATTGAAGGTTATAAGAAGAATGAAACCATGTAACAATAGATATAAGTTTGTGTTAATATCAGATGACAAATGCATATCCTATTCCTTAAACCTGATGGGAATAATAACAATAATAATCTACTTTATTCCAAAACAGTATTTATAACACAGAATGGAATTCTCAGCATTTGTCACAATATTGCATGCATCTGATTTACTCAAAATATAAATAAAATTAACAGAATAAAATTAACCAGAGGAATTTGTCCACATTTACGGTATAAAGTGAAAAATATTAGAAGTACAAAATGAGAATAATAAATATAATAATAATAATAACAGTGAGTTTGTCTCAAACAGTGTTGTCAATTTAGTTTGGATATTTTAGCATGTTGCAGATTATTAGATCTAATGTTCTGCTGCTATAGTATAGTGAGGGGAAAGACAAAATTAACAGTTATAACACAGCTTAAATGATGTTGACACGTTTGAGAAAATAAACAAATGAAAACAAAAAGATTGAGAGGATCTTAAATATAAGAAGAACAATAACAATGAAGCTTGGTGGAATCACGATAGAGAAAATGGTTTATTTACTAGTGCAAAGAAGATTAGTTAGTTAGTTAGTTCATGCCTGATACTATTTTCGTCACACAAAATACGTGCCAAATATGGTATGGTGGAATTTTCATATTTAGACGTAAATGCATAAAGTCTTCTGAAAAGACTTCTTGTTTCACCTAAGGAGACACAACGTTGGAGCTGCAGGTGCTGCGGTAGGTGCTTACAGTCTGACAAAATTTCTTTAGTAAATTTGTTACATGACATCGAGTGCCTATCAGTGACAATGTCAGCGACAGGACTAGAAAAGCAACCACCACTCGCCTTATTGACAGTCTTTAGATTTCTACGAAGTATGACATAGTCTTTTTAAAGCAATCCAGGAAAGAATAAGAGTGGTCGGTAAAGAAGAATAGGTAAGATGCTCGAGTTGACAGACTGTAAGAGTAGGGGCTGACTAATCCGTGAGACGCCTTAACTTCTTCATGTAAAAGTCTTTACATTGGTCCTCTAGGGTTGCTGTAAGTCTACGTATTCTATCTGCAAGACCTTGTATTGATCCTCGTTTCACCGTGAGTGGATGAGCTGAGTGGTAATCAAGGAATCTTCCAGAGTGTGTGGTTCTTCTATATAGCGTCGTTTTAATGCTACCATCTGTTATTCTTTGTATTTTGCAATCTAACATAGGCAGTTCCCCAATTTCATTCTCTACTTCCATAGTGAATTTTATTGAGTCGACATGGCTGTTTATGTGTGAGAAGAGTTTCTCAATATCGTTTTTTTCACTATTACTAGTGTCTCGTCTACATATCTCCACCAACATTTTAGTGATGACCTGAATGGTTTAAGGGCATTCTCTTCCCAATAATCCATGAATATGTCAGCTATTATTGGTGAGATAGGCGATCCCATGGCTCGACAAGAGAAACTAAAAGAAGACAATGGCCTAAAAGACAGAACACAGTTATCCGTAGAAGAGATAATAAAAGGGGTGGAATTCTGTCTGACAACAACCTATTTCACATTCGAAGGGAAAATATACCAACAAAATGAAGGAGTAGCCATGGGATCGCCTATCTCACCAATAATAGCTGACATATTCATGGATTATTGGGAAGAGAATGCCCTTAAACCATTCAGGTCATCACTAAAATGTTGGTGGAGATATGTAGACGACACACTAGTAATAGTGAAAAAAACGATATTGAGAAACTCTTCTCACACATAAACAGCCATGTCGACTCAATAAAATTCACTATGGAAGTAGAGAATGAAATTGGGGAACTGCCTATGTTAGATTGCAAAATACAAAGAATAACAGATGGTAGCATTAAAACGACGCTATATAGAAGAACCACACACTCTGGAAGATTCCTTGATTACCACTCAGCTCATCCACTCACGGTGAAACGAGGATCAATACAAGGTCTTGCAGATAGAATACGTAGACTTGCAACAACTCTAGAGGACCAGTGTAAAGAAATAAACGTCCTATTCAAAATGCTACTCGAAAACAACTACTCAAATGAATTTATAAAAGATAATATTAAAAAGAGAAAAAAGAGGGTAAAACCGGAGAATAACAAGATGGAAGAATGCAAAAAAACAGTCACAATACCATATAAAAATGGTACATCGGAGGCAATTCAAAGAAACCTCAAAAATATCGGCATTCACACAACTTTTAAACCGACAAATCGAATCAAAAATAAAATAAATCAACTGAAAGATCCCATAAAAATGATGGATAAAAACAACTTGATTTACAAAATATCTTGTGCTGACTGTCCGACTAAATATGTGGGGTAAACGTCCAGATCACTCAAAATAAGAGTGAATGGACATAAACGCCTAACCAAAGGTCAACCAACAGGAACACAAGCCTACAAGAATCTTGAAAAAAATTCGTCGATAGCTGCCATGCATGGGACAAAAACCACAATATCGATTGGAACAATGTGTGTATTCTAAAAACTAACATGAACAAATGGAAAGAAAGACTTATAACAGAATCGATATTCATTAAAGTCACACCGGATACATGTAACAAGGGTGACTCAGTAGAAATACCAACAACTTGGAATATAATTCTGGATACAAAAACATGAATAAACGTGGAATATAACTCAAATACAAAAAAATAAAAATATGAGTGAGCAAAAATAATGAACTATATATACGAGTACAAATCATAAATGTGTGAACAAAACAATTCCAACAGTGGTGTATACACGGACAGTAATTTTGCTCGAAATATTACCAATAACAAAACTTATCATTGTGTGTAAACTTTTGAAATATAATTATACTTTATTTGATCTAATCCATAATGCTCAAACTTTTTACTGATATTAAGTCAGTTTGATTTTCAGCAAGCTTGTTTAACAAAATAACCTTAGGTACTAAGTGGAGAGCAGATGTGTAATCTCGGAAGGTGCAGCGAATAAATTTTGCCACCTTGTCTAAACTAGAAACAATGTTGTGATGCAAGCTGCAGCTGCATCTAAAACACTTCTACTATATTTGTAGGGAAATTGTTTGGATTAGTTAAATGCTTTAAGTGAAGGTTGAAGATTAAGTGAGCGTAACTTTTCCATAGTTTTTAGAAAAGGAGAGGCAATAGCAATAGCTCTAAATTTAAAACATGGTGGAAGCAGTCGTTAGGATGCCTCTGACCCAAGGTTTCATGCTTCATGTTACTGGTTATTAAGGTTACCACCTAGTACGGTGGTCACATTATAAACTTTATTGACAGAATTCAGTCTGGACCGGGAGAAGGATTAAATGCCTGCCATTAGTTACTACCTAGTGTCCAAGGTAAGTACTACTGATCGTGATTAGAGCTAAAACAATACTGAAAACAACACAGTTGGTTTGTTTATTATTGACTATACATTAGCTGGTAGACTGTTTTAATGAATGATCAGTGACGTAACACCGACTGATTTACAACAACGGGACAAAATTCTCACCGAATAAAAAATAAAACCTTAACTTAATTTTCAATTAATAAATAAAACATACATCGCTCAACCATTGGTTCAATATCGAATAAAGTACATACCTAAAACAATAACAAAATTATCTGCTTAGTATTTTTATATTCAGTGACTTATAAGTCTTTTTTAGTTAAGAAAGGTTATAATTATATTAAATCATTGCACGTTAAGGGATAGTTCGTGTGTCAGTCTAATAAGTGGAAATGAAGAATTTGAGCTTCTTGACCATTTCGCTTAAGAAGTCGAATCAGTAGAAATACCTTGGTGATCAGAGAAATGACAAACTCACCTAGATTTCACCAAATTTTGCCAATTACACTGCAGGCCAGATATCCCTTTGTGGCTTTCAGGAATCTACTTCTTCAAATAAAGTGAATTATCAGTGCACGACATTCTATAAGATGATATTATTACAGATCATCACACTTCAGAGAAGCACACATAAAGATACAGAAGAGGAATGCGACGAAAGTGCAAAGAACGCAAATGCATTGCAGAAAGAATAATCAGTTAGAGCTCGTAGACCATTAAGCCATTGATATCCGATTCAGTGACCTATGAATTCCAACTTCTGCCAATTAGCGATGTCTTCGGTGAGTAACT